AGAAGCACCTCCACTCATCTAATCCCCTAACTGTAAGAAATGGGATTGGTCTCTGGCTGTCATCATTCAGAGACACGGGACTATTTTTCTATTAGACGCATTGAGTGTTTTCTAAAATCATTCAGCCCCTGTTGTTCTGGTGTAAGAGGAATGGGCATCGGCTTTATATAATCTCATTGATGGCAAAGTAATGCTCTAAGTCACCGGTGGAGAAATGGCTATATAAGACAAGCCCTCCACAAATTAAGAAACAGTAAGTCTCTATGTTTATTTCATTCATTAATTTAGTACTTTACACCTATCATGCAGCACATATAAATTGCCAAGTGAAATAAACATGGAGAGAAAGGGAGACTTGCAATACCTAACTATAGCAGCCTCTTTGACTACAATTTTGTCTCCAGAGATGGGAATGAAATATTTTATAAATAAAGAATGAAATGAAGGTAATTTGCTGAGTAGAGTGTGTGATAAAAGAGATGCCAGTGATAAAAGGGCCCCTCCTTATCCCTGCATGATCTACCTTCAGATACCCAGTTTGTAAACTGACTTTCTTTGCACCCAGGTTTAAATGGGGGAGGGCAACAGTGACCAGTAAGGTGATTGACTGTTTGAGAATCACCTTTTGTTGTTGGAAGGCCCAAAAGAGAAGGACAAATTCTTCCTGTCAGTTGTCAGGAAGAACGTCACCACAAGTGAAATTCAGGCAAGGTTGTACAAGCCTGTGGAATTGATAAGCAGTTCATATCTGCTAAGATGTCTAGAACCTATCTTCCACTGTTCCCAAGGCAAGATTTTTTTTTTCTCCAGAAATCACACTGAAGTAGTAGTTCACAATTCCTGCCATTTAATGAACTTTGTAATTGATTGCTGCTGGGAAAAAATAATGACTGGGACAAGGCCATTTACAAACTCAGTAAGGTTTTGTGAAATTTTGTTTGGTATGTGTATGCATTTTAAAGGCATATTAAATTAAATATTAAATTTAAAAAGCCTGACTAGGTGGCTCAGTGGCTAAGACACTGAGCTTGTCGATCAGAAAGTTCGAATCCCTAGTACAGGTCTCCTGCATGAGCAGGAGGTTGGACTAGATGACCTCCAAGGTCCCTTCCAACTCTGTTACTGTTACCAAAAAGGTATCACTTTGTACTCAGAAGGTAAATGTAAATTCTTTTATATGGTAAAGGCTTTTTCCCCTATTTTTTAAAAAAATCTACCTTTTTTAGTTTTATCTATAGCTTCAATGGCTCTGATCATGCTCAGATAGTACCTTTAATATATATTTTTCATTGTAGAAATGTTAGACACACACGTTGGCTTACAAACTGAAAAAGCAAACAGAAAAAAGAACTATTCATCAACTCCAGGACGAATCAGGAACCTTACACCATACACATTTGGAGAAGTAAAACATAGTTAAAACATTCTTTCAAAAACTCTACAGACAGGAAGATGTCCCAGAAGACCAAATTAGAAAATATCTTCATAAAACCAATTTCACACATTTTGAAGAACACAGAGAGATCTTGAACCGGCCCATAACAATGTTCAAACTGATTGAAACCCGCAAAAAACAAAAGAACAATAAAACCCCAGGACCAGATGGAATTCCTACTGAATTTTATAAACTCTGCCAACAATCAATAGATGAAACAATGTTACAAGTGTTTAACACAGCATTACTGATAACGGAAATTCCAAAATCCTAGACAGAAACTATCATCACATTAATACACAAAGAAGATACAGACCCGAACCAAGTTAAAAATTACAGACCAATCTCATTACTCAATGTGGATTATAAACTATTTATGTCAATTCTAGCAAAGAGACTCAAAGCAATAATCCATACATATATACATCCAGATCAAAATGGCTTTATACCCAGGAGACAAATCAAAAACAATTTGAGAACGATTATAAATATTTTGGAATACTACGATCAAAAGATAGATAAAGAAGTAGCCCTAATCTCACTTGATGCCCAGAAGGCCTTCGACAACTTAAATTGGTCCTTTCTCATAATACAATTGGAGTCAATGGATTGTGGAGAGAAATTTCTCAAATTGATAAAAAAAATTTACTCTCACCAAACAGCAAGAATCTCAATAAATGGCGACATGACACAAACTTTTGATATCCAGAAAGGAGTACGACAAGGATGTCCCATGTCACCCTTACTATTTATAATAGCACTGGAAGTGCTATTGAATGAAGTCAGGAAGGAAGAAGATATCCAAGGTCTTAAGATCCGGGGAGAAGAGTACAAACTGCTTGCTTTCGCAGATGATGTAATTTTTATTTTGGAAAAACCGAGACTATCCGGACCCAGGTTGATGGCAATGATAGAGGAATACGGAGATGTTGCGGGCCTCAAAATAAATAAACAAAAAACGAAAGTACTAACGAAAAATATGAATCAGACACAGAGGATGAAATTAGAAGAAGAATTAGGAATCCAAATAGTAAAGAAGATAAAATACTTAGGTATTTGGTTGACGGCAAAAGCTACTATGATCAAAGAAGACAATTATACTAAATTATTAAAAGAAATCAAAAAAGATTTGGAAATTTGGAATAGACTACAACTGTCACTGATGGGTAGAATCGCCTCAATAAAAATGAATACACTGCCAAGAGTATTATATCTATACCAGGTAATACCAATACAGCCGGGAAGAGACTTTTTCAAGACTCTCAATAAATTAACAACGACATATTTATGGCAGGGAAAGAAGGCTAGAATCAAGATCAAAGCTCTACAAGACTCACGAGACAAAGGAGGCCTGGCACTACCAGATTGGGAACTCTATTACAAGGCTGCAGGGTTGGCTTGGATCAAACAATGGATGAAACTGGACGATAAAAGAATTCTATACTTAGAAGGCTTCGATCTAATGCGAGGATGGCACGCTTTCCTATAGGATGGACCGGACAAACGACATATGTATTTCCAACGACATATAATTAGGGCTTCATTATTTAAGATTTGGCAGGAAATTAAGAGAAATCATATTAGAATTCCAAAATGGTGGTCCCCGATGGAGGCATTGATACAACCAAATACTCTCGAGATAGGAAAGATGATGCGGTATCAAGATCTATTAAATCAGGAAGGCAAATTTACCCCAAGACATCAACTACAAGATGGTGGCATAGATATTGATTGGTGGCCCTATACCCAAATGCAATCAAGATACACAGCAGACAAAAAACAATATGGAATTGCGGACAACTTAAACGAATTGGACAAGATCTTACACGGACCAGAACAAAAGATAATAACCAAAACATACAATTACCTTCTTAGATATAAATTATTAGATGAAACAGTCAAGGAAAACATGATAAGATGGGCCAGAGATATAGGCCACAACATTCAATTGGCAGATTGGGAGAAATTATGGTCACAAAATATTAAAATGACAAGGGACACAACGTATAAAGAGAATCTCATCAAAATGTTTTATAGATGGCACCTACCACCGGCTCGGTTAGTGAAAATGTACCCAAACGCCCCCTCATCTTGTTGGAAATGTAAAACCAAAAAAGGGACATATTTTCATGCTTGGTGGAAATGTAAAAAGGCCCAACAATATGGCAAGACATTAAAAAAATGATTGAGGAAATAACGAATTTACAAGTAGAAGACAGCCCAGAATTCTTTTTATTTGGCATGATAACAGCACAATTCACTAAAGAGACAAAATATCTTATTATACACATCCTGACAGCAGCACGATTACTATTTGCTCAAAACTGGAAATTAGAACAACTCCCAACCAAAGACAAAATTATCTCAAAAATAACAGAGTGTGCCGAGATGAACAGATTGACGCTGGAGCTCCAGGACAAAGAAGAAAGTGACTATTACAATGTATGGCACCAATGGTACCAATGGCTGGAAAGGAAAATAAACACAAAAGTAGACGATAATAACTAGGGTGAAAGATGATTAGCAATAAGGAGAAGATGTAAAGTTAGCATAAGTCTTAAGTAGTTGAATTAAGAATCAAATATTATTTTCTTATGAATAGATAATGAAAAGAACTAGATACACTGTTGATGACAAAAAGTGTATATGTAGAATGTTGTGTGGGTGTTGTGGGTGGTGGGAGTTCTGTTTGGTTTGTATTGTCTTTGTATTTTTGTTTATATTTTAATAATAAAAATATTTTAAAAAAGAAATGTTAGACACACACACACACACACACACACACACACATCTAGAGATTATATTACCATCCTATAGTCATCACTTCATGGTTTAGTTCATTCTTGTCCATTTCTTCTTCCAAATATGGATAAACCTTTAAGCAGAGCGTTTTGAATTAAAAAAAGGCAAATTTCTCAAAGCATGGATGATCTCCAGTTCAATCCTGTTTATGCTTGCAAGAGAAAAGAGTTTTCGAAGTAAAGTCTGATACTCATTGCCCCTCCCCAATTGTCCCTGGAGGTATTTCACACAGATGCTTCCTGGTCTATCTTTTTAATTTGTTCTACACAAGATTCCAACATTTTAAAATGCAGAAAAAAACCACAAAAAGGGGGGGGGGGGTGAGCAGAAGGGATTTTACCTATAATAAAGATTTTAAAAAGAGACTTTTAAGACTGATATTTTTCTTCCTCTTTCAGAATTCTAGAACACCCCCACACACACATACTAAATCACAGGTATGAAATAACAATTAATTCATGGCATTGAAATGCCAGAGTTCAATTTTTCTTTAGAAGACAAGCATTAAATCTATTTTTATGTTGCAATTTCAAAGTTTAGGAATCATAAACAGGTAGTGTATGGCTAAAGAGAACCTGGTTGGACATCATAGGTCAGCAGCCTAGATGTTGTACATGAATCTCCAAGAACCACCTTCTAGATATGGCCTGACAAGGAATGAACTTGTTTAAAGCAGTGCAGAAACTCAATTATATTGAGTTTCAAGAAGACAAATAGGATCAACACACACACACCCATCCAATTTCTGACTTAGATCACTCACCATATCCTGTCCAAAAGCCCAAATGGCTTGGATCCATGTAATCCAGATTATTCAGATGAGTTTGTAGCTGTGAGACCACCACATTCTCAATAACCTTTTTTAAAGAAATGAAATATCTGCTGTTAATTTATAACTGTATTGAGCTCTTCCAGGCCAAGGGAAAGTTTCTTTAGTAAAAGGCTTATTATTGCCTCTTTTTTAACAGGATGAAACACACTGTATCGGAATGGAGGCCCTGATCATGTCCCTTAATGATGGGGCCAGAATTAGTCTGACCAATTTAACCAACTAAAGGTTATCACCTTTAAAGCGCTCCATGGCTTAGGACCTGGTTATCTACGGGACCGCCTGCTACCACCAATAGCCTCCCACCGGCCAGTACGCTCCCATAGAGAGGGGCTCCTCTGGGTGCTGTCGGCCAAACAATGTCGACTGGTGGCCCCTAGGGGGAGAGCCTTCTCTGTGGGGGCACCTACGATCTGGAACGAGCTCCCCCCAGAGATATGGAGAATCCCGGATCTGTGCACCTTCCGTCGCGCGCTCAAGACTTTTTTATTTCATCAAGTTGGCCTGGCTTAAATCTTCTCCCCTTTTAAATGTAAATTTAAATTTGTTTTTAAATTATTGGGTATTTTAAATTTGTCTCAGCCAAATTATTTAATTCGTTTTTATTCTATTTTAAATTTTTGTATTTATGTGTTTTATTCTGTGGCTTTCACCGCCCTGAGTCCTTCGGGAGTAGGGCGGTATAGAAATCCAATAAAATAAAATAAATAATAAATAAAATAATAAATAAATAAAAATAGAAAATATTTTTTACAATAATTTTTATTAAAATTTACAAATACAAAGGTAAATAAATGTTTTTGTTAAAGTAAATGTTTTACTTTAACAAAAAGTAAAAAAAAAAAAGTGCAGAGGAAAAAGAAAAAAACAAGAAGAAAAAGAATATATAATGAAACAATTCTCCGCTCCCTAAAGACAAGCATAAACAAACAAGACATGCCTTCAGGGTTACAGTAGCACTTTTCAGATCCTTCCCATAGGAACGTCTATCTCCCCATTACCTGTTCCTGATCATTCAGTAAGATTAAATTGTTCTTCAAAAATAAGAGGATTAAATGTTTAGAAGTTTTCTTTTTAATGTATATTCTACAAGAAAATATATCTGACTTCTTGTTTTTCAACAATTTTAAGAATTGTAGACTTTTATATAGTGATGTTTAAAAATGTTTAAAAATGCAAAGCTTTAAAAAATGAATACAAACTACATATGTACGTATGCATGTATGCATGTATGCATGTATGCAAATAAAAGTAACCACAATATCTGCTATCTGTTCTGGATCTGCAAGTCCCATGGAATCTTAACCCTGTTATTTTCAATGACCTTCTATGGAATCTCCCATCTGGACTTGGGAAGGTCTAGCCCACCAATCAGCTGTCCTGGAAAGACAATACAGGAAAATCCCCTCCCCAGAGAGACAATGTCCCTACAACTCTAGACTTGTAGAAACAATAGAACATGTACTTCTCCAGTGCCTATACTATGGCGACATTTGTATAATCTTATTTTAACATTACAGTATTGCATCCAGGGCACACAGGACAATTTTACACTTCCCTACTGCTTTCAGATACCAATCCTGCTACCACAAACAATGTTGTTGCACAGCAGCGTCTAAAATCTGTACCACAGAGCTTGACTGTACCACAAACTAGTTTTAATGAGCACCTTGTTCATTTTCATACAGCATTATGATAAAGTTTGGTATGCTTCTCTATGCCCATCTATTATGTTTATCCTTCCTTTTAGCCTTTTTGTTCTTTCTGTCTTTAATTTTTTTAAACTTTTTATTGTAATTTTATTTTATTGTGTTTTTATGTTTTGTCTTTTATCCCACCCTTCTTATGCTGGTGTTTGATCTTAATAAAGGTTTGATTGGTTGATACACCCTGCCACTTTGTCTTGGACTCTCTCTCAGACCTCTCTGTACATCTTGGGTTCTCGTCTAGTATGGTAGACCCCTGCTTCTATGGATCTGGTGCTCAGTCCTGGTTCTTGTGCTGCCATGATCAATGCATCAGTGCTGTCTTTTAGTCCAGCCCTTTCCAACCCACTGGTGGAATTTCCCCATACAGGCACTTCCTGTGCTTGATTTTCCTCCCATGTCTGCGGCTACCCCAGGCACTCTCTCTGCGGGTCATCTTTGGGTGGCTACTCAGTATTTATTTTCTTTGTAAAAGCTCAGTCATTATGACTTTTTTCGTAACTTGGAATCTCTTTGAAACAGAGATATGCCTCTAAATTAAGATCAGACCAGTGTCATCCTGTGGTCTACATCTATGGGAGATCCTTTTGAGTTATTTTCTGCAAACTTGACAGCTCTACATTTTTAACTCGCTGCCACTGAACTACTAAAAAGGGATGTTATATTCTTTCATTTTAAAAAAATTCAAAAAAGTTTTTTTTTTTAAAAAAATAGATCAGTGTCTCTACTCCCGAGGAGAAGAAGCCTAAATTTCCTATCTGTGTTCCTCAAAACTATAGGGGCTAGGATATTATGCTAATGAGAAAAAAAAAGAAAAACAACAAAGGTAATAGATATACTGTCTTTCTCATATATCAGGCTTAGGAGGAATTAGGTATGAAAGGTATGAAAGACAGAGGATGATAACAGGAACTAGCAAGCTGCTATACCAAGGCACGGAATAGAGCTAGAGCAGGAGTCAGCAACTTTAAACACTCAAAGAGCCATTTGGACCTGTTTTCCACAAAAAAGAAAACACCAGGAGCCACAAAAGTCCTAACCAGAAGCCCCCCGTTCAATTCTGGAGTCTCCTCCTAGCACGGTGTCCTTTTTCTTTTACCTGTCCTAACTGAAAGCCCTATCAATTGTGGAGCCAAATGGAAAACCCGCCCCTTGCCATAGAGTCTCCTCCTGGTGCGTAGTGCTCCCCCGCCCACAACTGGAAGTCCTCTCAAAATTGTGGTGCCGACCGGTTCCATGGAGAGAGATTTTTCTGTGGAGCAGAGGGGGCATAGCTTCACATGCTGCCTGTATCCCGTGGATGGGGTTTCATTCATTTGTATGGTCCGGTTACTGTTATGTCACAGACCAGAGCTGGTCCATGGACCACAGATTAGGGACTCCTATTGTAAGTCATCCCCATATTCTTCAGAGCAACCAGGATACTGATAGCATTGTTGTTAAATGAATTGGGAAACTGTCTAATTATATTCAGGAACCAATCAGATTATTTTGATAGATCATGCAGAGGTTTGCACATGCTATGGATATAGAATTGAAAAGGAAGTGATCTGCATATGATCATGGAATCACTCAGGATTCTTGACTATCAGATCATCAAATAGAATCCCATATCCAAAATAAACAATGTTGCATCTATAGAGATAGATATTATTAGAAGCAGAATGACATGAAATGTTGAATTCCTCCTGTCTGGGCAACCTCAATGCACAATGTAATCCCTCAGTATAACGAGTCTAAAGATATCTAGTGCTCTGCCTAAGATAACTAAGATAACAGCTGGTTGTTGTGGAATAGAAAACACATTAATACATCCACTTTTCTGGCCATCAAAACCTTTTGAGTATGCACTCAAAATTGGCAGACTGCTAATGTTGACTCACAGAACCCATGCACCCTATTCCAGACAAATATTGCCTACTTTGCAGTCACTCATGTTCTCATTCATTCATTCATTCATTCATCTGTTCATCCATTGAACCTTTTTCTGGAGATCTTGGGAACTAAGTTTAGGACTTCTTGGTGGTAAACTTGTATTGCCAACCTAAAAGAAAGACTATTTACTTTGCAGTGAATGGGCAAGCCCTCTCCACATACTTACTGCCTGCTAGCATCTCAGGTTAGAGATAATGATGCCATCTCAGATGTAGCAAGTAAACTGCTTCCAAGACTGATGCCTGGTTTAGAATACATAGACAGGAATACACTATCCCTGCCACCTCTCTTTCTGATAAAAGAAAGTTACTCTCTGGAACTTTCCTGGAGACAAAAGAGCAGATCTCTTGGAAAATTGAAAAAAGAAAGAAGAAATATTTTAGAGCCATGTGAAAGATGAGCAATGAACATCTTTTTTCAAATCTTCTGAATTAAAATTGTAGCTTAGAAGAGTCTAGGAAAATCCAGAGAAAGCAAGCAAGAATTCCTTGTTGGAGTTATCCACTTTGAAGTATGTTAACTTTTAACAAAGAGTCAATTAGAACTCTGATTTACTTTATTATGTGTGCTAGTTTACAATCTCTGATAACTGGGGATTATTGTATTTGTGCATATTCAGTTATTATATCCAAATCCAATCAAATTCTTTATCACAGGGCAGCAACCAAGACTAAATGGGACTGATTTAAAAAGACCGACCAAATACAAAACCATCTTATCCCCCCTTTTATTAGTAATCAGGCCATTGGCTTGGGAGTCTTCCCTTACATGCATGCCAGTGTTAAGGGGGTGGATGCCAAATAAGGTCATGCCTCAAGAAGATATAGCAATACCAAGCAGCTATAGGAAATGGCAAGAAAGCCAGTGGGTGTAAAAGCTAATTTAATGTAATGTAATTTAAAGCTAAAACCCACAAGGAAAAGATTATTCCTAAAAAATACTAATGACCAATATGATCATCGTATCTATAACTATGGAACAAACGGGGACAGTTGTTTTAATAAAATTTAATAACTAAAAATAATAAACAAAATGTGTTATTCTTCATTTCCTAAACAGATGCAGAGTTAACAGAAGTGTGGCTTCACAGCTAATCTAAATGCTGAATTCTGGAAGGCTGACAGCTGGCTTCTTTCTGCTGATTAAGAAACTGAAAAAAATGTCATTCTTGTTTCTGCAAGGGAGTTTTTCTCCTTGAATACAAATGTTTTTGTTTTTTTGTTTTAAAAAGTCCTGCTCGTCTCATTTTTTTTTTAAACGCTGAAAGAAAGGGTTATTAAATCACAAAAGGGAGGAAGTTAGGTGGTGTGGATATAATCATAAATCATATATTTATTGATGTATCAGGAACAAAGCCAGTGACAGCTGTAAAACATCCAATTTTCCCCTTTAACTCCATTGGACAGAAATCTTGAAAGGTCTATTCAAAACATAGTCCTGTCTCATCAGGAAAAGGACATTTATTCAGTTCTAGTCTCTCAAGAATCTCTTGGTTTTCAGGTTCTAAACCAATGGAGATTGAAAGTTCTTTCTGTTCTACATAATGGTGAAAAGCTCTCATGTAAATGTTTTCTGCCTTCCTGTTTTCCATTATTTATTGAAGGTTTAAGAGAAAAAAAATCAAATACTTTATAGGCTTAAAACAGATTTGCATAGTGTAGATATTCAACAGACATAGTAACAATTCTGGTCATTTCTTGTATGTTTGCAAAGTAGGGTTTGGAGACATACTTAATATTTCACTACATGTTTTAAATAGTGTATTATTGTAAATGTCATGGCAAGCAGAGA